TTTACCACTTGGCACTTCATTCATTTATCAGCAAATATACTCATCAAGTGAAGAGCATTATTTTATATGAGGTATTAGCCTAAATTTTGAATATTTAAAGGTGAACTGAATTTATATACAAGTACCATGACTTCAGTAACCATTGATGTTGCACTTTCTGCTGGAGAAGTAACTTAGATCTAATCCCCTGTGATACCCCCATTCCACTTTGAAGTCACTATATAAGGGCGTATTCCCAGACATTTAGATCGGTCTATCCCTGTGGGGAGTCTCGCTAGATTACTGTCAGAAAATCCGGCTTAAATGTCCGTCCCGCCTACTACAAGCTGTAAGGGGATAATTAACTTTCGTGCCCGCTCAGCTGACAGCTATTTAGCGTGAACCCCCAAGGAGTTAGGTCGATCTAGTTGGATCGATCTAATCTCTGGGAATGGGGTCTTACTGTCACTGCATAGTATGTAGCCACAGTCTTCAGTAGAGGGTTCAAGTCGTGACATCTGTGCCCTTCAGCCTTCTATTCCTTAATTGGTATATTTATGATGTTGTGGATTGCCTGGTGTTAATCATTTAATTATAGTTGGAGACATTGAAACTAATTGCTTAATAGTGAAATATTTATTGCTTATCTCTCAGTATTGCACAGAAGTCATTTTCAAGTGGAAGAATTGCTGGTTAATTGCTGTTGTCCAAATTGTTAATATTCCCCCAACCCAGTTAGGCGAAACATACCCTTGTTATGTTTTTTGAGCTAAAATAATGTTTCAAATATTTTTTAAAAGAACTCTTTTATAGTATTATTGATGATTATGACTGTAAATGTTTGGGGCCTGCTTTTAGCTTACATTTTTGATAACCTTGAAAATGTTATTCTTAAAAATATGCATGAACTTTGTTACTATCAAGTCTGTAGTCAGCCAAATGTTACTGTGTCAGTAATAACCTTCTTGTAACATAACGGTTTGGGCATAGTGTTACAGTAAGAAATATATGTATTCATATCATTGTTACCAGGAGTTTCCCCAGGATTTGGGGTACAGGGAATCTAACCCAAGCAAGCCCAACCAACCCAAAATTTTTATAAGCTGTTTGTCTTAGGAAATATAGGCCAACTTTTGAGGCTAGTAGCTGTCTAAATGACTGCTCTCTGGGGAATCACCATGTTGTTAGTCCAGATCAATAGATATATATGAAAAAATAATGTCACAATGGGAAATAATGTTGTCTTCGACTTGTGGCAAAAATATTTGTGTCATTAAAGACTTGATTTTAATTTGTTCATGTCAGCTAGATTGAGGTCTAAAATTGTTGTTCCGCTTTATCTTCAGTTAATGTATCTTTGACCTAAATCAAAGTCTTGATGTTGAAGTTGACACACATATATCTAAGGGTGAAGTCAGGTGTTGAAATATCCATGTACTAGGTATATTAACATAAATAACATCTATGTCTTCTTGATGATTTTTGATATGTACCGTACTAGAGATGTTCTTGATTTCCTGTTAAAGGGTTAACTTTGAGTTGCTATTTATTTATTTATTTATTTTGATATAGGTGCCACGGGTGTGTCAGGATGAAACTTTCACAATGTTATCACTTAGTGGCATAGATATTTAGCAACCATATCTTATTGTGCTATTGTGTATTACCAAACAAGAAGACATTTTCCAAGAAATGGAACTTCAGATCGAAAATTGGTCAAAACTTGAATTCTTAACTTTATGGTCAACTTTTCCCACTGTAGTCCAGTCAAATTGTTTGCCATGCTTGCTACACAACAACAACAACAACAAAAAAAAAAAAAAAAAAAGAAAAAAAGAAGCATTGCAATAATTTTACTCTAATCTTAACTTGATGATGATAGACTGTTAAGGAGTATAATTTTGGCCTTAAAGTTCAGGACAAATCTAGGGTTTAAAGTCTCTTTACGTAAGTGGCATTATAGTGATTCTGGGTAGAAAACCTGTTCTTATTCACAGGGACCACTCTGGGATAAAATTACATTAAGCCAGATACATGCAACGTATCTGTCAAATAACATAAAGAATGGATTTGACCAAACTTGTCGTGTATTTGACACTTTGTGAAAGCAACTTTAAAAAAATGTTCATTGTTTTCGTAAAAGTGTGTTAGACTCCTGCGGTAGGTCTGACGAGTTCAAGCAGATAGTGAAATGGTGACACCAGGGTCGCAAAGTACACTGTCAGATTCTAGTTTTCTTTTCAAAGACATAATAAACATCATTGGTGCTTGTAGCTGATGAATAATAGACTTAGCTGAACGTACAGGCACGACAATTTTTTTTTCTGATTTAATATCAGAAGTCTGATTTTTTTCATGGCAATTTTCCACCTGTTTCTGAGCCATTCCAGCCTTCTTTCTAGATACATACGACCCAAAATCATATCTGCAGACTTGGCTTAGACATCTAAGAAGTAGAAAGGTGAAAACAGGTATTGGGTGGCTATATTGGTCCAGATAGTATCAGCCCTGTACCTAGAAGTATATACTATAGGACAAGTGTGCTGGTTACCTAGGATATTGTGGTCGTTTGGTCCCCAATTGACAAAGTTTGGATCATATCTGATTATAAGTTACAGTAAAAGATGGGGTTAAGTAATTTAAGAGTGTTTAGGACCCCAAAATGTGTTCAAGAACAACTTGGAGTGTGCATAAGGTAAGGCAGGTAATGGAAAGGTAAAAAGTATACCAGGTAATCTTGCAGGTGTGTTAAGTATGTAGCTGTCTTCTTGGAAGAGAGGTGTATTCAGACCCATATATCTGGTCAGTATGGGGGCAAAAAAGGTT